TACAACGAATAGAAAAAAAAGGAATATGGTTCGTATATTTTATACGTGGGAGGGGCACGCTGGAGCTGTATTATGGTTGTAGCACGAATGGGTCTGCACGACCGGAGTAGGTCCATGCTCTCACAGAATACCATCGCAAAATTACATATAGCTGCTGTATTTCGTAGCATGTTTCCATTTTAGTCTACTCTTCTCAGGGGTGACGATTCTTACAATTCGCATTTTGATTCTTTGACTTAGACTGTGTACTCGTTAGTTACCCTTATTCCATAAAAAGTTAATACAAGATTGAGCAGAAATATAAGTCTCATTTATATAATTAGTTAAAACTCCAATAATTTCACGTCAGCTGCAACACCCGCAAACCGCCGACCCCAACAGCCGCAACTAGGGTTGCCAGGTCTTCAAACCGAAAAGCCGGACAGACCAGAGAGCCAAGCCGAATATTTTTGTTAAAAGGCCTTAGGACACTTTTAATTTTTTAGTCATAATATATAACATGACAATTTTTAAGTAAAACAATTGTTATCAATGATTGTTAGATAATTGCTACTAAAATCATTTAAATAATAATTATGTAATTATCCTTTTCTTTTATATTATTTTTCGTAATTAGAAATATAAAATTGATTATAAGTCATATTATTGTCATAAATAATTTTCTCAGTTTATTTTTAATTTAAAATTTGAGAAATTTGAGAGATTTGCCCAGAATATTAAATAAGTAATTTCGTTTCCTAAACATTTGTAATTAATTAACTTATTAGTAACATTTATAACAGTTGTTTACTTATTTTTATATTATAAAAGTATTTGAATCGTATAACTCTTACACATTCAAACTGTTGCTAGGTTCATTTTTGATAGAAAGTAGGGGTAGGCTACCACCAATGTGTAATAGTATTTAAAACGATTGCAATAATGATTGAGGGGCTTTTTCGTGCTGTAACTGTAGTAAAGCAAACCTCAAGTGATCAGTCTTTTCTGCGACTCTTAAATACAATGCTTTCTATCTTTTACCGAAAATCTTCTTAAGTTCTAATGAAATAACAATAAAATTGAATAAATCAGTCTTCTGTGTTATTAATCATTCTATATTCATTTCAATATCAATTTAAATTATTATAATAGTATATATATATATGAAAAATGTAAAAAATGGTCAAATTTAAAAACCTGATCAGACACCGTCGACACGCAACAAAAAATCCTGACCGTGTCCGGCTTTATCCGGACGCCTAGCTGCAACGTCGCTGAGCTATATTTAAATACAGTTAACTATATTTAACGATTATTTAAATAAAATTGTCCCGCTGAGTTCCTTGCTGGTTCTTCCCAGGACAGAAGTTTTTTTCCGAACCAGTGGTAAATTAAAAAAGTGACTTTCAAAAGGTATCATTTATAATCTATATTAAATAAAAAAGTTTCTGTTTCTTTTTTTTTATATAGGATAGGGTGACAAACAAGCACACAGTCCACATGTTAAGTGGTTGCTGTGGCCCATAGACATCTACATTTATCCTCAATTACGAATCAAAAAGCAGATGCGTTGTCACCCGTGAGGACTAAGATGGAATGCCTCGTTTCCAGTAAAAAGGGTATCCGGTTCTCTACACTGACCATACGAAACACAAGCAGTATTAAGCTGCTATTTTACGCTGGTATTCTGTGAGAGCGTGGTCCTTACCCGGTCGAGCCAATCCATTCGTGCTACAACCTACAATTGACGACTCCGTGGCGCAGTGGGTTAGCAATGAGTTGCTGCGCTGGGGGTCGCGGGTTCGAATCCCGCACGGAACAAGCATTTGTATGGCCTACAAATAATTGTTCCGGGTCTGGATGTTTTTCCTTGTGCAATTTATGTTTGTAAACTACCCTAGGAGATAATCCTAGTGTTTTATAACGTTTTATGAAAACGTTTTATAAAAATATTAACGTTTTATATAAAAAAAACACAATATAACTGCAGCATGGCTCGACCACGTACAACGTTCTGTTTCTGTTGCTATTTCTATACCGTTACCGTTACTGCCTATCAAAAGTCAACAGCTGATCAAAGACCTCTCCCAGAAACTGCCTTAAATGACGGAAATCGCAGTTTTTTATTTTTAAGTTTTGTTTTCCTCTATTTTACGACACCTACGGGATGGTACAGGATAGTGGATATTCTTACACCGCCACTATATGGTCAGCAAGATATTGAACTATTCTCGCTTATTATTCTAACATCTGATATTCCTCGATTACTATTTATAATCTGTGCTCACACGTAGCCGCAACACGAGGCGTGACAAAGGCCACTGTATAAAGACCGGAAGAACATGACGAGATATCGCTTTACCATCTAAGGTTTCGCGCGCATTTCGGTCGAGTTCATAAGCCTTATCATATACTCTTTTGTTTTATTATTATTAGACGGCTCAGTGCAGCTTAGCATTTAGTTGTGGCAGACGGCCGCAGGTTCGAATCCTGCCCGGAACAATTATTTCTGTGGCAACAAATACTTATTCCATGTTTGGATGTTTGTGCTCGTGCAATTTGTATATGCAAAATGCTAGTAAATAGTGCGTCAGTATTTATTTATAAAATTATAGTAATTATGAATGGATATTCGGTATTTTGCCTCTTTAATAAAATATATATTGTCTTGTATGAAAACTACTTTTACAGATTTTATCGCGTTTAATTTATCACGGGGGACCATGGGTGCTGGAAAGCATCCAATACGTCGGGAATTAAAATTCATATAAATTAAACGCGATAAAATCCATAAAAGTAGTTTAAATCAACGTGTTGTATTCGCGTAAATATAAGAAATCGTCTATTATATATTTTATATACATTGTCTTTTATTAACTTATGGAACTAATAAATTTCAGTCCAAATCCAATCCTTCTGTCGGAGTATTTTACGTGTGATGTAAATACTTCATATTATAGATGGTTATACTGGGATCTATCGGAAACTATAAGATATTTATAGTATTTTAATAGTCATCTTTAACAACACCCATGGGATGAAATGGAATACGCCAACGCCGTATGGTATCGAGATATATTTGTAATAACTTCTTGGTACTTCAAACGATAATTGACATTGTCACAATACGGTGAGCATACAATATTTAGATTACTTTTTAATCTGTGGTAGAGTTAGCCATTTTTATATTTCACTTTAAAAACACTTTAAAATGTAATGTCCATACTAATTAGACTTTTATAAATACGTGAAAGCCGACATCAAAGTAAAAATAATTGAAATAATACTAGTTTTTAACGGTATATTATCGCGTATATTTAACTATAAATACCCGACGTTTCAAGCGCTTTACAGCACCCATGGTCACGGGGAGGACTGAGATGTTAAACGTCCAAATGTCATAGTTAACAGCGGTTACCATAGATAAAAATTTAACTTTTGTTCCGATTTAACAAAAGTTAAATTTTTAAACTAGTATTATTTCAATGTGTAGTGTTCGCGTAAATATAAGAAATCATTATGTAAAAATAATTTCCACATAGCTTCTGAAGTATTATATAGCAAGAAGTCAAAAGGTTAGTATATCTTAAGTAGATTTAAAGTTAAATGAATAAAAAAATCGTTAATAATAATAATAATAATAATAATAATAATAATCACCACATTGCCATTCCATATGACGAGAACCTAGTGAAAGACGAATCAGATAAGTTAAAAATTATTCCTGTAGTCGTCTCTGCGAATGAGCTAATCCCAGTTACTCTCAGGTCTGCTGAGGCGACTGGGTCTGCGTGACGGACCGCTCCGGGATTAAATGGAGAAGGCGGTGCTCCTCGATACCGCCCGCATCATCCGCCGGTACCTTTCCCTTTCCCCCAAACCCTCGGCCGTTTGATCTCCCCTGCCGAGGGCTTCCATCTGGTTGAGCTTTTATTTATTTATGTATTTTTTGTATTTATTTTATTTTATTGATATTTATGTATATTTATCTTTTCATTTTCGTTTATAATTATATATTTATAGAACCCAACCAGATGAGAAAAATATTTAGACACCCCAAACCAAAATAATCAATCCATCTGGTTGGGCTTTTATTTATTTACGTATTATTTATCTATTTATGTTAGTATATTAAATATATATTTATGTATATTTATCATTTCCTTTTATATATTTATTCAGCCTAACCAAATGAGAATACCCCATAGTACTTAATAATAGTATTTATTTGCTGAATATAGGGGTATTACAGTGCTTTACAAATTACTCTCCATGTGCTACCAGGAGGCATGCAACAATCTCAGCCAATTATATGATCAATTGGCAAATTAGAATATTTTTTATAATATTTTGATGGCATGCAAGTAAATTTTATATAATAAATTCATTTGAAATTATCAATATATAATCAATTTTTGGTAGGATAATATTAATGTCAAGGCCACTTCAAAATTCAATACAAAAATTTAATAATTTAAAAAAATATAATGAATAATCAATAGTCAATTAAACTACGCATATCAGAGACTAATTTGTAGTTGTACATTTACTATAAATATTACTTTAAATATATAATAATCGTAATAGCGAAATATGCCTAATCACTGAGGTCAGAGTTTTATTTAATGACTTCAAAATGTATTGTTTAGAAAGTCGGTTTGTTGTAATAACATTTACATATCAAGAGGTTCTTTCTTTTCAGATGTTGTTTTGTTCAGAGGTTTTTTAAAGAGAGTCATTTTTTTATTCGTGTTGTCATGTGGCTCCAGTACCCATAGTTAAAACTTTTTTTATTACTTACAATCAATATTTATTTTGACATGTTATAATTGAACACAAAGGTACAAATAACCGTGCTTTTAAAGCTTATTTTACAATATGAAATGAAATTTACTGCACTATATGTTTTTTTTTAATTAAATGCATTTTATTAAATGATAACCTTATGTTAATAACTTGACTTAATTATAACAATTAAAAAGGGAGTTCAGTCTAATCTTTACTGTGTAATCGGACATTATTTATTGGTCTTCTGTGTCGTCCTGGAGACTCAGTTTCTTGGCTAGTGGTCGAGTTATAAGTAGGCAACAGTTCTTGCTGGCCAGACCTTGCATCGCTCTCCTTCTAAGCACTACCAGAATGAGGAATACAACGATTCCTTGGAGGCAAGTAAAACTGCCCATTATTTTCCAAATGGTATGTGCCTGTCCGTGTGCAGAGCTCGCAATTTCGAACATCCAAGAAATACCCATAACTAGGAACAGCTTGAGAGAAACCAGGAATTTATGTTTTAGGTTGTTTAACTTGCTGACTTCGTATTTGCTTGTGTGCTGCAGCCACAAGTTGTAAGATGACATGACAAAGAGAATGACGTTGACTAGCAACAAGCACCGTGACCGAACCATAAAGGAATATCCAAATTTCCGTGCGATCTTAAACCAGCAGCTGGTTTGGCTGAAGCCAGGTTTCACGAGGAATAACAAAAGCGTGCAGCCCCAAGCATAATAGTTGTACCAAAAGTATTGCTTTCTTTCTGTCTTCTTCAATTAGGCTGCATCTTGTACAGTCCTATACATGTTAATGCTTATTACGTTCATCCAAAAAAAAGTTGCCATCATCCAAAAATACACCATGAAGCCAGTGACAGCGCAAATTTTGCCTTCGAATTGAACACTGAGGTCGAGCACTACTCGCGAGAGGAATCCTAGAGCCATACTGATGCACATGCACGTATAGCACAGGCCTTGTAGGTCCCTCATTTGCGGTAAATACATATACACAGTAAGGTGACTACTAGGAAGAAAACGGAAATCAACAAGAGTATACTACCAGTCTCTATTTCGTACGACTGGCCAAAGCCTTCGAAGCACACCACCGCTACCGGCATCTGGCCCTTACTAAAATCGCTTGGGTTACGATCCATCATACCGGTACAGTACATATTAGTATCTTCCACCAAAACGAATCCTGGAGAGTCCTGAGTAGAGACTTTATTCCCCACTAGAATAATATCTTTGAGAAGTATGCGACCATAGGTACAGTTCAAGTCGATTCGTTTGGGAATTCGCCATCGCCGCAGAAGCCTCGAGGAAAGATAGTTTTGTTGTTCGTACAGCATGGTCTAGCTGACAGGACTCCGCTGCAGCCGAATAACAGTAATAGTCAGGAGCTCTTCATTTTTTCTAAAGTAACCGCACACAATGTAACACGCTGGGCCACATTAATCAACTGCATTATAAACGATAAACAACTGCTGAATGCTGTGTTTCACAATTATCGAGGATATCGCGTTACATACAGTATTTTGAAGTCAGCTTAAAAAAGAAAAATCGTCATATCGTTTGCAGGCCAGAAATATGACCAATATTTAATAGAGTCAGTCATTACCTTGCGGAATACATTATATTAATATAGACGTTAAATTAATATGACCAAAACATACAAACAGAATAAATAATAGTAAAAGGAACAGAAGGATCACTCTCTGATAGCAAACTTGCGAGTTTAAACTTAGTTACAACGGTAATATTCATAATACTTTGAAATTCACCTACCGATTAAATCATCTATAAAAAAATAATGCGGCGCGTGTATTAAATTAAAATGCGCCTTTATTAAGGCCGCTTCAACTGTAGGGTTAGGTATTGTAAGAAAACAAATTGAATCCTTTGATATTAGTTGGTAGTAGAATACACCGAGGTGTTATGTACGGTATTAGTAATTTAGTAATAATAAAAATCTTATTGTTCAATGTAAAGTAACGTATTATCTATATATTATTTCTATTTATTAAGGTGTTTATCTATTGTAATATATTATAGCGCGCCTAATATAATTTGCAACAGCATCGTTGAGGAAGCTATGCGAGTGAGTTGAGTCTTTGCCTCGCAGTGCAAGACTACATAAAATGCTATCGAAAGCTAAACCTAATCAGATCAGGCTTCTTAAAAAACCTAATATGGGAACTTCACTAATAGTATAACAGAAACATTGGAGTTACTAGCGTCAACCCATTTCCCAGGGTCACATAAGACCTTTGCCACGAATTCTTTCAGAACCCTACGACGGCCTTGTAATTAGTACTGATGTAGGGCTGCAAAGATAATACGGCCAAACCTGGTGCAGTGGGCTGCTGACTACTTTAAACCATATAAGACAAGCGGGGAGAATGGAATAATTCCCATCCAACCATAGAGGGGTATCGATATCAAGTTTTGCATGGGGATATATTTTATAATGATTGTCAATAAAAAATCGAAAACTTTGAAACTGTGGTCGGGTCGCTAATCAAATAATAAATCTGTAACTATGGAACCAGTGACTAGGTACCCAATTATCTAAATATACCTATAAACAATAATATCTTACTTTTCGATATCCTTTGGAACAGTAAAGAATTAAAAGTCGACATTTCTATTGTTATTTAAGCACTCATATGCTATGCAGTAACTTTTGGCTTTTTGAGGGCCCATTCTTGAATAAAAACTCAAAAATAAATATCAAGTGGGTACCTAAGTATAGATAAGAGAAAAATACTATTTTTGTCAATGTAAGGCGCGCGTCAGCTCAACCGCGCGAGTGACAATCTCATGGAATTAGCCTCTTGTAGGGGGCGCGCAGCGATGCCTGAAGCTCGGAGTGAGACAAGCCTGACAAACCATAACTTACTGTCTGATGCTCTCACACGTGACCAATACAAACAAAAAATCTCCAAGAAATAATAGTATATTTAATAACGACTGCGGAAATCCTGTCATTGCAAAGAGTTCCGACAAATGTCTACCCGAGCCGAGGCGCAGCCGAAGGTGAGGGTTGACAGTCGGAACAAGTTGCAATGACGGTTCCGCGCGTGTACTGAACAACTATTTTTAATACAGTTGCGAAATAATGAAGCAATTTAATAAAATAATAAAAACACAATAAACTCAACTAAGTAATCATTTATTTCTTATAAAAGTTATAATTCACATATACATTGAAATTAGTACAATTTTTTTATACCAACTGGGGTAGTTTTAGGTTGCATATTTTACTGTTTGAAATAAACTATTATTAATTTCGTTTGATTGTTCATGTCTATTTGTCAAAGGTGTTATGCAATGGCGTTTGCTAGTTGATGGAATTGGATCTGATGAATTATCATTATCAACGAAGGTAGATGGACGAAGTTCTCTTCAGTAATGTCATGTGAAGGAGACGGACTAGACTTTAAATTAATGGATTGTGTGATTTTTTCGCAGTTTCTAGTTTGTTGTTTAATGAATCAGCAATATAGCCTTCTGCAACTTTGTCTGACTTCCAACCTCCTAGTCGCTTTAAGGACGTCAAATTGGCTCCTGAATCTGCCAATAATTTAGCAGAGGTCCTCCTGAAGCTGTGCCCAATATAATACTCAGCATCCGGCAGACCAAGAAACGTAGCTTTTTCTTTTATTTTTTATTTATATTACCAAATTTGTTTATCCCGATTGCTTAAGCTGTACACTTCCCTTTTTGATAATTTTGGAAAAAACGGTCGGTTTTTGCTTTTTGGGGCCGCTAATTCACATATTTTTGCACTATTCTAAGAAAATCTCCTTCAACAACAAAGCTTCTCGGTATCTTATTTTTTGTATTCGGAATCTTGATGCTACTACATTTTTCCATGGGCTTCAATATCTTCTAAAGTAATATTGGCTAACTCCTCTCTGCGGCAAGCTCCAACAACGCCAAAAATCAGCGCAACCTACAAAAAAAGGGATTTCATTGATATTTTTTAAATAATAAATTGACTGTATTTTGCGATTACGTAAACTGAATACTAAAGAAAAATATAAATATTTATTAATAAATTACCTTTTGTGGCTAAATAACGATCATCGGGAGCTTCGTTCAAAAACCTTTCCACTTCATTCGATGTTAATATTTTTGACTTTTTAGTTGTAAAACCATCTGATTGTCGTTGTAAGAAAGCATTTAGTTTTGAGTATTCACTTATATCCACGTTGTTCCTTATTTTCAGCATACTTTTTATCATTGAAAAACTCGACCATAACGTAGAAGGTTTCAATTTTGCTGAGAGTTCGGAGAAGTACGCCAACATAACATTTTCTGAAAAACTATTTGCTTTTTTCTCTTCTCTCCAAGCAATAAATTCGTCGTATGTAGATATGTAACGACTTTTTGACTTTTCAGCATTGAGTTATAATGTACTACGTACTAGAGAAGCTATTCCAAACAAAAATTGTGCGCTACTCTATTTCTTCGCGCATGCGCGGTAATAGTAGAGTCGCGCATGCGCGGTTTTTTGTCATCATAGATTAGTTAGGTAGAATGATCAGTATGTAATTAATAACTATTGTTTATTTAAATTACATAAATTGTACATAAATTACATTAAAACGAGTTAAAATTTAAATAATTTGTCAATTATTTTGAATATTAAGAGGTAAATTAATACGATAATAAATAATATTATCACAATTGCATTTGAATTACATGTTTATATGAATATTTTAAAAGATAACTATATAAAATGAAAGGAATCGAAGCAAATGAAATATATTTATTTAAATCACTTATTTGTTTTCTTTTTTGCTGAAAATTAGTTTCAATTATTAAATTTATAAATGTTTTGGTAAAAATAAAAAATAAACTTTATTAAGTGCCTTTAAACAATATGAGTTTAGTTAATTTTTGCCGTTTAGATAAATATTCTTTATCTTGATCAGTTTTTGCTTCGTGTTTTAAACGAATATTTGTGTATTTATTTATGATAGCCCGAATCAAGTGAACCCTGTGATTGAAAGTACTTGGCTGATTAAATGAATGTTGAATTAAGGATGTAAATACCTCTTTTTCAATGAAAAATTCTAAAGTTTTAACAATAATGAAATTGAAGCTATATTTTATTCTTTGTCTTATAAGTTTTCGTATCACGGTTTCCGTGGTCAAACATATTTTATACACATCGCCAGTAGAGTAGCATAAGCCACCCATATCTTTGATGGTTATCAATTTGTGGTGTGGCAGCTTTTCTGTCGTGATTAAGCTATTTACGCATTCTTCGCATTTTAATAATTTTGTTAAAATTCTGGCTATATATCCAGAAATGTATCCAACAATCAATTGGGAACTACTCGTAACATGTTCTTTATTTAGTGTCTCAGCAAATATGTTACAATTATTTTCGGCTTCAATATCAGAATTCAGTATACAGGTAGATGATAAAACTTCATATTGTTGGTCATCATGTCTATTAAGGGGTGTTGTGCTGTTAATTATGTCAGTAGAAGAACATTGTAAAATAGTGAAATTGTCCAGTGGGATACAATTACCAGTAAATGATGATCGTAGTTCCAAGTGATTTAGAGTTTTTT